ATGGACAGCTGCGCAGAACCATACAATGAATCTTTATCTGTCCCAGCTTTTCAAGCGATACCTTTATCCATCTGAGCACGAGCGCCGGATTTCGCAAAGACTTTCAGGTTTCTTCTTTTTTTCACTGCTATTTTCTAACCTCCCCTTCCTTCCCTCAAATCTCGCCCCATCGTTCATTGCACCAGCACAACCATAACAGACGACGATAAGCGGATGTTCCAAATAAGCAGAAATTACCTGAATCAATGAGCAATTCATCGATGCAACGTTCGATGTAGTGGCGTCGCACCTCTTCTGCCGGTACCGCATTCTCCAGCACACTGAAATGTGCGTCCAGTGCTGCATCAACCATCTCCACCGGTAATCGATCATCACGGAACAGATCCCACAACAGCGACAGAGACTTCAACGTGAGGCTCTGAAGAAGCTCAACGCTACTGCTTCTTCACACATGACAAAACTTAATGTATTGCTTCCAGTTAAAAGAGAAATTGCTCGAAGTTTAATCAGTGCGCAAACTGCAAAAATATGAAGTGAACTGCCTAGATGCGTCGTTTTTGCTCATTCTATAACGAACTTTGTCGGTGCTATTATTAGTCGCCTCTTCTGCAGGAGCATTGTAAATTAGTGCATTAATCCTGTCCTCAAATCTTTTTTCTTTTTTTTTTTTTTTGGGAGGTTAAACGTAGAATTTGTACATAATTCTTGTACAGTGAATGAATATATATGTGTATTTGTACTGAGGCAGCAAAAATCTCATATCATCCAAAATCATTTCTAATTATCAGTGCTCAAATGAGGAAGAAAATGACTGAACCCCGTCCGAAAGACTGTTGAAATCGACGCCAATTCGACGTATCAGGTCGAGCAGAAGCGTTCGTTCGCGTGACGACGACATCCGCCAACTTTCCTAAACAAGGCAATCTGTCAAGTTTGCAGACTCATTATCGGCCGAAAACTGTGAAAATTCACTGCATTCGTTAATGCCGTACCACGTTTAAACGAAAAAAAGGGGCAATATCAAAAGCACTGTACCTTCATTCGTTCGAACAGATGATCCTGCATTTCGATGTTGAAAACATTCACCAATTTCGCAATCAGATCATGCACATCTCGTTGAATAACATCGTGCTTCCCATGCTGCGCATTCCACAACGTGTCCATATCGTCCAGCGTTATGGCATTCTTTTCCAACAGAATTCGGAAAATCCTCTCCAACCTAAAAACAGCACGGTTAAGTGAACACGAAGAAATGCAATGATTCTTACCAAAAATATTCTTTGCGAAGAAAAAAAAAAATCCAAAAACCTTTCACAATATGCTGGATGATGCAAATTATCGCGAACCAATATTTCAACGAGATTCTTCTCCCTCAACCATTCGGTCAGCTGGCTCACCGAGATCGCTCCATCCTGCTGCAGTGAGAAATGTAAATTACTAGAAAACAACTGCCCTGCGACTAAAACCTAAAGCACAAAATATTGAAAGCAAAGTTAGGAGCAAACGAAAACTACAAAAAATGACCCCTAAAAAAAATACTGCGAAA